AGGTTTGGTGATTTATTGGGAAGTTATAGAGAAAAAAATTAATAGGTACATCGGTCTCGTAAGTACTTTTGAATACCTGGTAATAAATTTCATTCTGACCCAAGTATTGAACTGCAATAAGTATTTCTTTTTGTTTAACTTTTGCCTATTTCCAATCGTGACAAAATTATTATTAACTTTTTAAGTTTTTCTCTGCTTAAGAGAAGATGACATTTGTGCTTATTATTTCAATTTCAATAAAGGCATCTAAGACGATTTTATTGTATTGTGTGGAATCAAACGAGTCAGCTGAGCTCTGTGTACGTACCTACTCACTCAACGGCTGGCGGGCGCGGTCGGTCGTTGACCCGCGGTGGAATTTTACTGTTTTTCCGTTTTTTAGAAGTGCTTATTTATTAGTTGTTTTTCACTGGATATGTAAGCATGTTTGTTTAATATGAATAACTACTCAAAAGGAGGAAAGGACAAAAAAATACACAAATTATAAATAAATACATGAAAAAAAATACTTCAAAAAAATCCGAAAAAATCAGGCATACTCTATACTCGTAACCCAACAATCTCACGAAGTTTCATTAAAACATTCAATTTCACCCTATATAATAAAGAGGCAGAAATTTTGTGTTTGTAACAAAAAATCTCTCAAAGTACTGAACCGTTTTCGAAAATTCATTCACCATAAGGTAGCTCCATATTTTCTAGCATTAATCTCAATATCTTTCATTAATCTCGTGGATTTATAAATCTCAAGAGGATTTTTACTTTAAAAAACCACTGTGATAACTTATCCAAAAGGGATTTTATTCTAGGAAATATTTCTTTATAATTACATTATATCCGTTAGACATGGGCTATATTTTATCCCGCTAAAATAATGCTCGTCCGTGCCATGCCGGGGCGGATCACTAATATAATATTATAGATGCGAAAGTGAGTTTGTTTGTTACGCTTTCGCGTCCTAATAGCTAAATCGGTTATGATGAATTTCCCTATAGAAATAGATTGGACCTTGATTCTAAGTTAAATTATCGAAATACTAAGGGGTAAGGTGATGGAAAGGGTGATTTACCTATAAAACGTTGTATTATTTGCTTCGAATTTTGCAGTATTGCCGTTTATAGATAATTATAAAACCAACATTATCGCGGGCTGATTAATAAAGATAAGTCCATTAATTGCATGTATCTACTAGCGAATAAAAGGTTATTTCTCATTATGTTAAATAACCCTAAAGGGTTTAGTAAAGTAACATTAAGTAATATCGTTAAAATAAAGTTCGAAAAGAAAATAATTCTGAGTTTTTCATTAAATTTTAATAGACGCTAGATGGCGTACTTTATATTAGATTTCGTTTTAATGTTAGATTAGATTGTTCAAGAAATCAGATTGAATTTGAATCGTCAATAAATGTGACTTATGTTGTTCTGATTCTATGGATTTTCTTTTTTTGAGCAATCGGAGTACCTTTGTGTGTTATGTGTACTATTCAATTACAAGCGTAGCTTTAGTTTTTTATGTGTGTGTGTTGAGTTACATTGGTTCTGATTCTGATACTGAAACGATATGATGCTCCTTTGGCTTTTTTTCTGTTCTGTGCATTTACGTAATCGCTATTTTGTTATTAAGAAAAGGACAACAATGCGGACTCGGACTTTCCGTTTCGCTCGCGCTGCGTTGAAGCGTACAGTTCTGTCTCGCTCGCTCGATTGAATGTTTATTTACAGACGTGTGCGTGTGTGAGAGTTGCTTATGTAGTTGAGTCGGAGCATATTTTATTTGATGCCAATGTTAGCGTGCCGTATCTTTACGGCACTCGCAGCTCAAAGTGTTCAAAGTGTTGTATGGTGCATGACCACAATTCGCTTTAGTAACAATTGGACATTCAAACACGCTGCATGTGCACTCAATATAGGGTTGCCATCTCTAAAATTTCGCAACCAGGACAAGACCGGTAAAAACCTCGGACTTTGTAGTTGACCCGGACCGGTCAACATAAACTTACTTAGTTAAATAAACAGTTTTAAATGTCATAAATCAACTTTTTTATGTTGATGCAAGTAAACGAGCTAGCAGTCCATCTGAAGGTAAATGGTCACTAATGCCCATGGAGACTTGCAGCACTACTCATGATTGTCAGCTCTGAAGGAAAAAAATAACCCACATTTTGAGAACCGTCATATTATCATTGCTATAAGGTAAACATGCTGAGGAAATTTCGTTCCTATCTTGCTAGAGTGTTGCCCAGATGCAAGAACAAGACGAGACTTAGCCAGTCTTGGTCTTGGTCTTGCGCTAATACACCTGGTCTTGGTCTTGCGCTCCCAGTCTTGGTCTTGTCTTGCAGCAAGAGTCTTGCAAGTCTTGCAATTACCTATTAGACTATTGCTATTTATTAAAGTTTACTTTAGATCTTAGAAAAACGTATTAGAATTGGAACATTGTGAGCTTGAATTAACATAGCCATAGTAAAGACCAATCAGATTAATAAATGTCTGAAGAGTTGATAAGAAATTCGAAAAATCTTAAGAAATTTAAGAAATATTTTGACTAAATGTACAATAATAGTACCTAAGTAATTAGTTTAAACCCATATAATCAATATTATAATATATACTTACTAGAATAAATTATTATGACATCTACTACCTATCCTTACTTACCATTATCTAATCATAATACTACTTGCGTGATCAGTATAATGTATTCGTTTCCATTCTAAGCACTCTAAAACTTATTTATTCTTTGGAACACCTGTACTCTAAAATTCGAAAATCGAAGTTCGTGTCGTACCGTCTCGCTCGCTCATATATTAAATAGTATTAGCGTGAGTGGGACGGTACGACACGAAATTAGAATTTTGCATGAGTATAGCTAGGCCCTGTGGCGGCAATCAAATAGTGTCAAATGTTGTGATTTCGGCGCGGCGGCAACGATTGTTGTATGTGATTTCAATAGAAGCCGCCGGCGCGTGTATCTTCACCATGTACTTCCGAAAAGCGGCAAATTTCTTTGAGAAGTCAGTACAAAACCTTTGATGCCGCATTATCAAAGTGCCGATGGTTAAAACAAATGCATAGTTTATGCATGCACTCTGTTTGATTTTAATGGATATTTTTTTATTCGCTATGTATGTTTATGGTATTGGTCGTAATGAGCATAGGTCCAGTTTTTTATATTCTTTGATACAGTTTTTTGCGTCTCATAGAATTCCTAAGCGTACCTATACACCGAACTGTTATACCTAACTACTCCGTGAAATAGCGCTAAGTCCTAGCTGCAAGACGCAAGAGTCTTGCCGGATTAGTCTTGTTCTTGCTCAAGTCTTGCACGGTCAGTCTTGGTCTTGGTCTTGCTAAAAATACGTGGTCTTGGTCTTGCAAAAATGCAAGAACAAGACCAAGACTGAATTTGGGCAACACTACTTGCTGCTACGCAAGAGAAAGGAACGCGCACAACGCATGATACTTGAATGCCAAGCGTACGGATGGTGGAAGTGAAACTTTCTCTCTGCGGTGTGTGGTGCGGAAAAGAAACTCCGCCTCTGGAAACAGATTGAATAATTCCTTGGAGCATTTTCCATTATATACACTGTACAACACGCACAAGGACGTATGTCTCTACGTGCGTCTTAGGATATGCAATACAAAGCGTCGTTGTACTTAGGATCATTGATGAGTCAGCTGCTGTTGGGGTGCTCCAGGCCAGAAGTGAGAACGGTATTCCATATGCGGCCAGACCTATGCTTTGTAAAGCAACAATCGATATTTAGGCTTGTAATACTTTCTCGCTCTATTAAGCACCCCAAGGTATATCTACTTGCAGGTTGGTTTGTTTTATCTTCCAAAAAAATCTCAGAATTGTACTTCATTTGAGATATCAACTCTTGGAATTCGGTTTTTTTGGTGATGTTGAGGGTGTCCTGGAAATAAGGTACCACAACGAATGTGGTTTTTTTCGCGGTGAACGCACACACTTCTACCGGGCCCCAATTCAAGACTTGATCTAGTGACGTCTTAATCTCAGACACACGTTTGTCTACTTCCATCCAAGGGATATTTGGCTGACCAGTGTAAAAAGTGTCGCCAGTACTGTCATGCGCTGTTGTTAGCTACAAACATCTTTGATATGCAAAATAAACAGCTTGTGCGTTAGAACTGATCCTTGTGGGAAGCCAGCATTTATGGGTTCAGTATTAGAAGAGATTTATTTATTTTCAAAAATATCATAATTAAACGGAATAATTAGCGGCCCAAGACATGTTATTTTTCAAACCCGAACTATGAATGAAACCCCGCCCGGACGTCCTTTAAACTAGGAAAAATCCGGGGAAACCCGGACGGATGGCAACCCTAACTCGATATAACAATATTGCGTATATTCTGTGTTATAAAAATAAAACCCTATTTATAGAAAAAACAGGTTCCTACACCGAGTAATGTGGGTCGGGAACCAGAGGCCTGTTGCCTCGTAAGCCGTTTGTACGGTAACCGATATCGCCGACTCGCCCCCACTACATTTCCATTTGCAATAATATACGTTGATTAAGAGTAATAATCAAAGATATAAGTCGCGGCACGAAACTCTAGCGCTAACCGTTATTGCGCAGAAGTAAAAATTAAGATGTCTTGGGGGAAACGAAGTGCGCGGGCGGACGTGCGTTGCGCCGATTGGCTCTCCAGTTGTCCCTTGCGCAGCTATCCCCTCCGCGTTTTGTTCAGCGCCAAAGTAACGTAACGCGACCTGTACAAAACTAAAGACTAGACTTAAGTTAAACCTGTCCCCGTAGCACGCATCGCAATTTACACAATAACACGTTTTTTATCGCGTCTATCTGTCAATCTCAGTATATCATGTATATCTCTGACAGTAATTTGACAATTGAGCGTGACAAAAACGAGTCATATATCATATCGCGGTGCTCATGCTAGGGAGGCTAGGCTAAAACTGATGCTGTCACTTTTGTTTGCTAAAAAGAGGACAGAAACACCATTAGGTTTAAATCCAGAATAACTTTATTCGACGTTTTTAAATAAGAGGGTAAGATAAACAAAGGAAGAATAAACTAAAAAGGTTGATGAAAAATAAGGCTCTATTTTCAAACAACATTTAAATGTCCAATATTGTCAGCTATCCCGCACACGTTATCGCCTACAGCTAACTTCACGTAGCCATTGTCGCCGAAGTCGACGCCCCAGGAGTTCCTGATGATATAGTGGGGAACTTTAGCTGTCAGATCGTATCCTACTATTTGAACAGCATGATTCACCAAATGCCAAGTTCCTCTGCAAAAAACACACTAAGCGAATAAGAAAGAAGAATTAAAGCACTAACGGTAAAATAATACTACCTTTCGTTGGTGTTGTGTTTCTCTATTGGTCCACAAGGTAAGGGACTGGATTAAGGAAGGTGAGGTGAGGATGGCAGGAAAGGAACGCTGTTCTGCCGCATCAGCCTTTGCGACCTGACTTCACTGAAGTACATTACATTCACAATAACTTTAGATAACTTAACTTTAGATGGGGTTCCAAAATTTGCTGCGCTATGTAAAAATATCTTTACAAAATCCAGCTTCACGGGGTAGGTGATTTGGTCAGGGTATACCTGGAATACCGCTAGAGGCACTCGCCAATTCGGCTTTTCGGCTTGAGGTCCCCTAAGGATCTCGCCGTCCCCAAACCCGGTGACGCTGTAAAGGTCATCTGCGACCAACAGCATACACACTCAAAAAAAAAAAGCTATGGTGACCGCTAACCATCAGACCGGTCATATGCTTGTTTTCCACCCTTATAAACATAAAATAAACGAGCGAGCATTACAGTAGTCGCGTATGATGTGTAACATTTGAAACCTCACCTTATATTAGTAAAAAAAAGAAATAAAACCTACTACAAAAGGAATAAGCCATTTGAACATTATGTTCTAAAATCAAATCAAATAGCGAGCGCTTTCGCGACTGCCTGTTACACACTTCCGTCCCATTTCACGAAATCACTCCCACAAATTGCAGGAAAGCAAGAGGAAAGATGTTACACATCAAACATGACGATGCATAATATCCATACTTCGGAACCGCTACAACCACGAGGAAGTTTATCGAAGCACTTATAGTAACTCATACATCACCAGCCTATTAAGTCACCACTACTGGGGCACAGGCCTTCCCTATGTACGGAATAGTGAGATTGAGTCATACTATGACCCACCACGCGAACACAAGAAAGCAGCCGTGAGGGAGGTATGGCGTCGTTTTATGCGGTATTGTTGCGTTGCCTTGTATGCGTCTACTGAATTCACCGATTTGGCTGATGGTTTGGATTGGTAGATGCTAACGTCTGCAAATGCAGCCGGGACTAGGGTTACCTTCTAACAGGCTTTCGCCGCATTTGACAGGCATTTTACAGTTTAGACAGGCGTGCGGTCAGCACTAAACTGAACAAGGCATTTTTGAATTTCTCGTGACAGTCACGCAGTCACGACACGCATGCACCATACGTGCGTGGGCCACGCAATGCAGTAAGGAAAGACGAGATGACGAGAATTCGCGGGCGGCCGGCATCAGTGGGCGGCGGGAGGCATTGTTTACGTGGACCGAGCGAATAAGATCGGGAGATAATAATATTAGTTTCTTTAGTTGACTTGAAAAATAGTTTTTAGCCTATAGACAGACTTTTTTCTGAAAAATCATTCGCTATATCTATTCTAGACAAGCATCCTCCCTGAAATTGATGGTAAACCTAGCCGGGACCAACGGCTTATCACGCCCTTCCAAGGTGCGTAAAAAGTCTTAATCAATATTTTTTGGTCACAAAATAATTTTACGTACGGGCAAGCAGATTTTATGACTCCACCGATGTAATATCTCCATGGAGCCGCATTTACCGAGGCCACAACTGGCCCGTGCATCGCAATCAGTTTCAATAATTTTTTTTCATCCACGTTGCTGTAACCAATCGTAAAATATAAAGTAAATAATTACTTGGTACCTAACTTATCCGTTGACTTCTAATAATGTTATATGATAGCCCATTTGAACCAATAGTTCTTACGACCTGCACAACTAAACTCATCTACCTTAACAAACTTGCTCCCCACACAATTAGAAACTCTTTTATGGATGGAGTAGGGGCGAGCCATGACCCAGGACACAGGCCCATTGCATACTAGTTGTTGTCCGCCTGCAGAAGCAGCCGAAAGCTATGGCTTGACGTGTCTTCCAAGCAAGGAGCTCGAGACAATAAATCACCCATCCCATTGCAAACAAAAACACTCTTCTCATCTCTATTTTTCTTTCAATGTTATTAGTTACTACCATGGTATAGAGTAAATATACAGGGCGTACCACGACTACCTTACACGGAGGGAAAGTATCTTAAATATTAAAGATAGGATATTTTACTGAAAGAAGACATCATTTCATTTTTGATAATGACTAGAACTGCATTCACAGATTTTTTTATAAACGACTGCTACAACTGGGAATCAAACTCGTGAAATTTCGAAAAAAAATACGACATATTTTATGATAACCATCGAAAGGGTTTATCATAAAGATAATTTTTTACTAATTAACATAGCATTTTAAATGAAAGGAATGTCTTTATTACGTGATAAAAAGAATAAAGTGATATACAAACTGTAGTATGCATTTCTTTTTGAACTCAGTTACAATGCGATTAGCTGAAAGGAGATTGCTCAGCTTCCATACATGTTTGGCCTAAAGACCAATAAATCATGAAAAATTGTGTCCTGGATTCGAAATTATATATAAATTACTGTAGACACGAATATTATTGACCCCTGAGAACTTCTATAAACCATATACACTGAACATATTAAAATAATAAAAAACAAATAAGTTATACAGTAAACTAGGGATATCAAGCCAAGTACCGAAATTATGGATTAGATTCAGGTATATAGAGCATGTAGATTAACAGATAGTTGCCTGTTTTTAAAGTTAATGCATAAGAGTAACTTTTAAAATCAGGTGTCATTTCCGGTTATAATAAGTGTTATATACCCTTTTTGTAGCGTTAGAAAATAGATGTGTTGAATCTTCAACTTTCTTTTATTTTCCCTCCTTTTACAAGTAATTAAAGATTGATCTAATAACTACTTATAAACAACTAACAACTTGGCACGGTGACTTGTTCTGATGAAGTTAATATACTACAAGAACGATGGGATGAGAATGACTTGTCAAGTAAAATATTATGGGATTTATATAGGATCGATTAGCAATGACCCTTGGTCTTGTGATAAGGCATTTCTTGGATGCCGTGATCACGTTCGCAAATATTCCGAAAAATAAGATAATTAGTTTGATTGATTTATGAGTTTGTTTGTCCGTTGTACTTATATTCCCGAAAATTAGATGTGCCCTTTAGGGTTATCTATCTTTGAATTTACTTGACTGATTTATGGGTTTGTTTGTCCGTTGTACTTGATGATATGATATTTTAGGAATTTAATATAGATTGGGGACAAGATGAGGGGTGAAAATGGGTGCGTACATAACATTAAAGTACTCTGTGACAGAAACTGTGTGATGATTGTGAATGAGCCACAGATTAGAGAGAATTTTTAAAGTCTCGTTAACCAAAGAAAGCTAAGAGATTTAGGTTCTATAGCCATATATTCAGTAGCTTCATTATTTTTGTTATGTTTTTAAGATATTTGAGACTTTTAGTGTATCACACCTTTTAATTTTATTTAATTATTAATTTATAGTCAGGGAACGTAGGCCCATAGATACCTGTTGTACCTTAAAGTCAAACATATATACAGATTATAATGTGCTTATGGAGGTGTTTGGCGAAAAATGTATGGCAATAGACTTTATGATGTCGCCTACCATCTATAATAATTGTCTGAGCACATTTGGATCTAGTGAAAATGATAATATAGTTGTGGATATTAATACCACAGTGTAATAAAAGATATGATTTATTTAATCGATCTTTACAAAATAGATTTGTTTTTATGTTATATAAACAACTTCGATCAGTCTTTGGCTGAATGTTACTACACCCATAGCCATTAAAAATGATTCGTATGTTTTCCAAACCGGTAAAATTAAAAGTCCTCTTTAAAGTAAATATATTATACAAAGGTGTCCGTTGAAATCTAATGACTGTAAATTAAATTATAAATTACGCCAAGAATTACCGTGTATGTCAATATTTTTTGTGCATTTAGGCCAATTTGAGCAATCTCCTTTGTAAAAATAATAATTCGAAAATAGAACACATACATTTTCAAGCGTCTGTACCCCTAGCACGAACCATTATCGAATTCGAATAGTTTGCGAGTGTGAAATGTCAATGTCAAATTTTGTATGGAAACTTATACAGCAAACACCACAAAGTACGTAACGAGAACTAAAAATCAGTACACATTTGACAATGACATTTCGCACTCGAAAACTATTCGAATTCGATATTGGTTCGTGCTAAGGGCACTGTTTTTTTTTGTGTTTTTCATTTTATTAAAAAGCGGATTCTCTTAATACATTTTTACAAAGGGAATCTAAATACGGAAAGCTATCTAGAAATACTTAATATTTTAAGATATGAGATCAATAATCTTCCTGATGCAAATCGACGAAATCTCATTTTCCAGCAAAATGGGAGTCATAACAGTAGGAGAACTGCCGAGTTTCTTAATGAACACTTTCCTTCCTGGATCAGTTCTTATGGACAAATAAGATGGCCAGCGAGATCCCCAGATCTTACCCCACTGGACTTTTTAGTGGGGTTATGTAACAGATGTAGTATACAAGAACCGGTAAGACAGTGTGCAGGAGTTACAAAATAACTCAGACGTATTATTACAAACATTCACCACGCAAAGATAATGAAATCGAGAGGCAGAGAAAACATTAATAGAGTGAGAATTTGTATACAACAAATCGAATCACATTTTGAACATTTGATACATTTCGTTTTTTATTACTTTTTGTTAAATATTTTTAATAAAATGTGTAATTTTATGACTTTTCTTTCATTTAAAATGCTATGTTATTTAGCAAAAAATAATTGTTATGATTAACTCTTTCAATGGTTATCATAAAACATGTAGTGTTCTTTTTTTCGAAATTTCACGAGTTTGATTCCCTTTGTAACAGGCGATTTTAAAAAATCAGTGAATGCAGTTCTAGTTATAATTAAAATGATGTCTTCTTTCGGTAAAATATCCTATCTTCAGTATTTAATATACTTTCCCTCCGTGTGAGGTACCCGTGGGACGCCCTGTATAGTAAATCGAAACGAAATCGAAATTACAATGTTAAGGGTCTATACAATAGAGTTAAAGATCTATAACACAACGATATTAAAACCCCTAGGTACACCACGTGCGCTTAAAATGTGCCCCAATCAAGAAGTGCTTAAACATCACTCAAGCACTTCTTGGTTTACTCGCTCACTCACTCGCGGGCCGTTGAAAAGTCAAAATGCCGCAGAGCTCCGTGAAAAAATACGAAAATAATACTTATAGTACTTAAAGTTTTGTTTTTTCGACGGGCATCTAATCAATGTTTGTTAATTTAATGCATTTGAAGCAAATTTTGTAGTAATACTTACTATAAACTGATTTAATAGAAAATATTTGTGATATTCAAATGCATGGTCGGTTATAATAGACGTCTTTTTTCGTCGCGCTCCGTATCTGCAATATTGCTATTACCGCATTCAGAATTACGCGTATAGTCAAAGAAATAAAGTCTATATTCTTCCGCCTGTAGCAACAAGTCGTAAATTTTTACGAGCTTGCATTTAGAAACTGTCATAACTCTTTGACGCATGCGTTTCAATTAAGACCTTATATAGGTATAGCTTAAAGGTGACTTTGCATCGTTAAATAATGCCTTATATTGTTTTTGACTACGCGATCATCTTACGAAGCTCCGCGAAACGTCCAATGTACCTTTTGGACATGTTTCGGCCACGATTTTGTTCGTTTTGTTGTATCTAGGGTATTAATTATCGTAGCCCATAACATTGTAATTTCGTAGACTCCACCCTCCATCTATCTACTTTAAAAAAGTTTGTCTACCCACCACAGGTTCGCGTATTCAGCGATCCTCTCACCGTTCGGTTTTTGATCGTCCGGTATCCTGCAGGATTCATCCCTCAATGTCAAGGAGTATTCCTTTTCAGTGACGATCGGGTAGTCATTCTGACAAAGGAACTGTAAAGCTAACCTGATGTCGCCCATATGGCAACCGTTGTTGTATTTCGAACAATCGATTAGCTCCTGTAAAAAAACAGCCCTCTTTATCAGCTTTCCTTAGAGCTCCAATGTCTCGTGACGGCACAATGAAGTCAGGATTAGACAAGAGTTCGGAGCAGCTAAAATTATAGCTATAATATATATAATTATAGGATCTATGAAATAGATGCTGTAAGCTTAGATTAAAACAAAAAGGGTAGATACGGCACTAGCCTCACAAAAGTGATCCGCACAAATTGTGGTCCACGACCCTAATAGCTTTAGTCACAAGTTGACATGCAAACGACGTACATGTGAACGCTAAAAATAAATATTAATAATATTTTGTGTTTATATCATAAAACAATGCCTAAGTATGTTTTTAAAAAGTGCTCAAATTGCTCAAGAACTAAAAATAAAACCCAAGGCATCACTTTTCATTCGTAAGTACTATAAAATATATTTTTTAATAAAAAATGCTGTTTGTTTTGAATCTTATTCGGTAGTGACGTCGAGTACTGGTCGCGTGATTGATCGGTAGTGCAGTGACGCGGATCTCGCCGTCTCGTTCGCGCTGCCGTGCCGTGCGATCAGTTTTTGTTTGATGCAAGTATGAGCGTACCGTATCTACCCTTTTTGTTTTAATCTAAGGCTGTAAGTGCCTTTAGAGCTACTCAACTACAGAAGGGTCGCTTAACACGCTATGCAGCAGACTCTTGCAGCTTCTGACTGTATTCATATACGCTATATCGTTCTAAAGCAACCTTGTTGTGTTTGTTGGAAGTTTATCTAAATTCTAAAGACATAGGTAGGTACCTTACACTTTTAAAGATTGTTACTGTGCATTAAGCATTAAAAAGGTAGTATCATTTTTTAATTTTTGATCGCAGTGATTCTTTTCGATGTAAGTATAACAAAAACTACCCACCCAGATTGCGAAAGTTCGCGCCAGTAAGGTGAAGAAATTGTAAGTGTAAGGTGATGCGAAAAAAAACACGTTCGGAAGGGATTTCTGCCCTCCAAACACGCCCGCTAACTTTGGCTATATCGATTTCAAACAAAAATTGTTAAATGTGGGACCTATTGGGGGTGTTCTATGCTGTGATACCTGTATACTTAGCCTGGTGAGTCCTTTTTTGTAGATGGCCACCATGCTTTCCATCACACCCACGATGCTGAAAGCCCAGCACGCACTGCAGAGCTTCTGGTTCAGAACCGGGGAAACCACTCCAAAGTCACGCCTGTGTGATACATAATCTTTTTATATTTAGGAAGTCATTGTAAAAGACCATATTTTCGTTTACCAAGTTCTTTATAGGTCAGTTATAACTTCTCAAGGCTATAACTATATTAATAATTTCATCATCATCACTAGCCTATCAATGTCCCCACTGGGGCACAGTGCCCATACACGCGGGCCCAGTGCGGATTTGTGGATGCTAACAAGTGCAGATGCGGCTGGGACCAACGTCTTAAAGTGCCTTTCGAAGCACGGAGGAGCTCGATATATTAAGTTTTTGGTAACCCATCCAAAGAGCATTGCGAAAGTTGTTTAACTTTCACGATCGCAGGCCGAATGCGCTGGCCACCTGTGACAACCATCTCCTCGATTAATATTTACTCAGTTCACTCTTAAATGACTTAAAATCACTAATATTATTTTTCTAACTTACCAATCAATCTTTACCGGTATATTTCCATAAGTTGGCGATATCTTAACATCAATCGTTCGGTTCTTAAACATCATGTATCTAATGCTTGGGCTAAAGTTCTGGTACTTCTTTCGTTTTGGTAGACACTTCATACTTTGTTCCTTACACGCTCTCTCGCTACGTCCCGACAGCATGAATGCGCTGAACTCATCGTCAGCCCAATCTGAGAACTTTGTAAGGCCAAACACCTTGGAATCGTGGATGGTGTTCAATCTTCTTATCTCTTGTACCGATTTCTGCAAAAAAAAATGATATATTTTTGTCTTAGGTGCACTTTTTTCATATCGTGAATAAAATGCATGACGTTACCCCACCACCTGATGAGTTCAATCTTGTTATCACTTGTACCGATTTCTTCAAAAGAAAAATGTTATATTTTCGTCTGCACTTTTTTATACCGTGGGAAAATTGCGTGACGTATACCCCACCACCTGACGAGCGGCAATATTATGACTCTCCTTCTCCTCCGAGGATATTTCGCCAACATCCCACGGAACTTCGTTCAATGAGTCCCCAGAGGCCTAACCACTAAAAACTCCACGGCACACCTTCGGCTAGGAGTAGTCCTTTACCCGAGAAACCGGTTTTCAAACCACCACCCAACTCCCTATAGAAAGGATCTTCTGATGAACCCACTCTGGTGAGAAAAGTTTAGGCGCGTTAGACTTCTCCCCAAACTTGTGGGGCCGTGCAATGTGCGATTGGTTGTCAATCATCCGCACTGGCCCAGGTTCGCCGTGTGTAGACACACCCTGAACTTCCGCTACCTTAACGAATACAGCGCTGCCCTGGCGACTTCTTCTCTACATACCCTGGGCGAGTGTTAAAGACCCAATTGAACTGACATCAGCCGTAAATTTAATGCTCCTCAAAAAAACGCGTTATCTTTTTCTGTTGTTATAGCAAATAAAGTTAACATTATCAACTATAGTCAAAGTTAAAAGAGGCAGTAACATAGACAAAGCAGCCTACTGTAGAGTTCTGCAGGAATGATATGAGAATGATCGAAAACCATTTTAAAAACTATCAGATATTAGGGGTGATGACGGGGTACATTAAACGAAATTCTATTAAGTCCGTCAGTTAGACGATCAAAAAATAATGGACACGTATTTTTTCTTTGGGCAATCAACAAAAAAATGACAAAGTTATAGCGCGTCAAAGTTTGGGAGTAGGGGCTCGTGACGTCACTTTTTAGTGAATTTTCACTTAGAAGTGTACCAAAACGTGACGTCATGCGACTTTTCAAATAAATATATCTCTGCAATGTTTATACCTATTATGTGAAAAAAGAAAAAATACGTGTTCAATACTTTTTGATAATCTACCTGATAAACGAAGAAAAAAAAATTAGTCATCATTCCCTCATCGAATGAACTACATACAAATAAACGTTGCCCGTCCACAATGCATCGATATTAAAATTTCACTTGAATATTAAATATATACCTAATAATGTTCACAATTTAACGGTTCATAACTCATTTTAATTAAAAAAAAAACACTCACCTCATAGTTCCTCATTCGTCTCATGAATTCATAATCAGTATAACTTTTGTTAAACTTCTTCATGTATCCAATAAAACTGTTTAGTGTGTAAACATCCGTTTTTGCAGCTTCATGTTCACCGTATGCATTCTTAATTAGTTCATTTCTTATTAAGTATAGAGTGGTTATCAATAAAGACACAATTAATGCACAAATTATGTAACGCATTTTGAAAGTTAGGCAAGTACTTATTATTGACGTTCAGCAAGAGCAAAGTAACTTAATACTGTAGTTTAATACTAAATTAAAATTGAAATTTATCCTGTTAAATGGTTTGGGTTAGTGATCTAAAAATAAAGCAGTTTTTGTGATTAAATAGGAATGTGGAATATGCTACTAATATTATAAATGTGTTAGTTTGTGTGTTTATTACTCAATCACACAAGAACTACTAAACGGATTTGGATGAAATTTAGTACGCATATAGTTTATGACCTAGATTGAGTCATAAGATAGGCACTTTTTATCCCAGAAAAATTATAAGTTCCAGTGCGTTTCTCGAAAAACTAAAGTTGAACACGGACGAAATCGCGGACGGTCGCTAGTATAAAATGAAACTGCTATTTAATTCAACTTAACATGTTTTTATTTTATAAACATATACAAATAAACTTACAGTCTTACAAAGCATAATATAATAACATTTATTAAGCCTATATTTAGTATAACGACAGGTAAAAAGTCTTTTTTTCCTCGTATTATCGAATTTCAGTCTGTTACAATTTATTTTTACTATTTTCGTCCTTATGGTATTAGGATTAACAATTTACTATTTTATCTTCTTGTATGCTAAACTTCTTATTTTGTATCAATAGCGATGAGTTATATAAACATATTCTTAATTTGGGAGTGAGCAAGGGCATTTTAATCAAACGCTCTCTTTCGTATACAATTGACATTAAAACTTAGTGTCAAGACATTACGTGTTAATTTTGTCTATGCAAGTAGATGTATTATGTATAACACAGCGCCGTTCGGACGTTTTTCGATGCACTTTTATAAGGCGATTGGGAGTCTACTTATTTATATACGTCAGACTTTCTAATTTTTTTTTACGTAAGAACCTTCAACAAATTACCTAGTATTAGAAAATCAAATATAAAGATGGATGAAATAGGCCGTTTTAAAGTTATAACATAAAAAATCTACTCAACTTAACATTAAACTCATACCTCCTTATTAATAAACAAGGAACAAGCTTAGAGCTAAGCTTAGATAGCTGGTACAGCAGTTATAAAGTGCTACACCAACCATCCTCACCTTGCCGGCCTGCAAAAATACTTCTTCGCGCCTCTCTTAAAGGACCCCAGATTGTTTCCACTTACGAATAGTACGACAAAGAAATAAGTCACCAAATTACTTTGTTCGTGTAGGAATAGTGGCCACAGTAAGTCGGTGGCAACGTAGGCCGCGTTGTCCTCTGCAGAAAATGTGATAGAGGAATAAGGGAGAATAACTTACACTGTATTTTGTTCATGTCACTAAAATGCCATATCATTCAATAAGCAGAGACGAAACATGGAGTAACTAATCCAAGCATAGTATTCGTTAATTAAATAGGGGGTGAATGTATACAAAAACATTCCCTAACTTACAAAACTAATTACTAGATCATCTTGTTTTATACTTTAATGGTCATGAACATTACAGTTACGGTATCGCTACCATGTTTTTTTTAAATATCGAAGACTCCTAAAAAACTAGGAACATGGTAGCACAGTCCTGCTAATAACTATAATAATTACTAGATTTTAATTGACCAAAAATAATGTGAGAATGGCTCACGATTTGGCACTAAATCTTAAATAACACCCTACACACTTTGAATGTATACAAAAATATTTTTAATTTAACAAACATAAGTAATTACTTACTAGGTAGATATTAATCGACTTGAATAATATGTTGCAAGATTATAATTTTTGACATCGCTACATTATGGCTAGTACGTTTTTGGATAACTAACAATTTTAAATAACTGAACACTTTTATCTAAAGCTTTTAAGAATTACCTCTATACAGATAATAGGGTGTTTTCCAAATTTTTGAAAACTGCTTATATTTAAAGATTCGGACAAACGAAACAGAAAAATAAAAATAAGTTAATTAATGTCATTTTTTTTCTCCATTATAGACCAATTAAAGTTCAATTTATTTTTAATGGTTATGAATTTACCGCCAAACCGCTCGGTTCGATGACGTCTACTGTGTGACGTCAACTTTGTGTAAAGAATTTTAACACAAGAATGTAGTTTGTGGACGATCTAACTCGATTTTACTTGTTGCTTACACAAAGTTGACGTCATCGAAGCGAGCGTTTTGGCGGTAAATTCAAAACCATTAAAACTAAATTCAACTTTAATTGGTTTAATGGATAAAAAAATCATTAATTAATGTATTTTTATTTTTCTGTTAAATTTGTTTTAAAAAATTTGGAAAATACCCTATTATGTGATTATAAAGTAGGGGAACACAAAAGGTGGAGTGAAACATAATTGTGTACTATATATGAGGCCATGAGAACCATAGTGGCCTATCTTACTTAGGCCAGTATGGCACCTTAAATTTAGATCATAGACTAAAAACCGTAACAGTGATTATGCTGCCATCTAGTGAATATTCGTTGTCACTTTTAGATCACTCTGGTTCTATCAAAATGATCAATTTGAACTGGAAAAAATCATAAACTCAATATTGTTATAATGAGTTAGGCCACTATGGTTCTCTTGGCCTCTTATCTACTGTTAAACAATAGGCTGGGCAGCACGCAGAGCCGTCAATTAAACTCAATACTTCATTAAATGTTGTGTTAAAGTATCAGCATTAATTTTAATCAAACTTAAGAGGTAATTGACGTCCATGAGGGCTCTCGTACTTAATAGCTTGGTACAAAAGGAGAATATACATTACGTTGAGTATTTTAACAAAACAACTACTATTTAAACTTCGTTCATATAAAATATTTAAAAAAAACAGTTAAACTTTGTTTTACTATTGCGTTGAAACTTATCATCTAATATTTCTAATTAAAACTTAACTAAAATAGTAAGAACTAACAATAATAACTAAGGATATAACAAACATTTTCGATATTTCATTTCTTGCCAGAACTTCTCTTGGCTATTCGTGTTTGCTATTTGTAAACATAACAACAGTCTTTCCTTATCATGCTTTATCAGTAATGAATAGGACAGATTGATGTCAAGTTTACAAATAGCAAAAACGAATAGCTAAGTATACCAAAGTGAACTTCCAGCATGACGAATTTCACGTGAGTTAAACAAAATTGAACTTTAAAGTCTTACATATAAGAAGCAATATTAATGGTAATGCAAAATGCGTACGGGCTTACCGGCCATTAGTATTGCTATGGTTAAAAATAAAGTTTATGATTTCATTTTTTTATTTTTGAACGCCCAAGACTTTAAATACCTCTCGCTCAATTTCTTTAATATTGTTATTACTAATGCAATAGAAAAGATCGCAAACTATTTAAAAACCTTCGGCGTTCAGAAATAACAAAATGAAATCATAAGGTAGCTAGAGCCCTTCTAAAGCACTTCTTGGTACACAGTCGCGCGCGGATCGTTGAAAAGTTGAGATGTCGCAGAGCTCCGTGAAAAATGCGAAAAATGCGGTTTTTGCGACAGGTATCTTATCGATGTTTGTTAATTTAACGTATTTGAAAAACGCAAATTTTGTAATACTCACTAAAACTGATTTAATCAAAAATATTTGTGATATAAAAATACATGGTCGGTTATTTAGCCGTCTCTTTTTCTCGCGGTCCGTACCTGCTATATTGCTAACAGCGCATTCATAATTGCGCGTAGAGTCAAAGAAATAAAGTCTATAATATTCCGTCTATAGCAAGAAGTCGTAAAATTTTACGAGCTTGCATTTCAAACTGGCATAACTCTTTGACGTATGCGATTAAATTAAGACCTTATCCAGTATGTATTAAAGGTAACTTTCAATGTTTAGCTAATGCTTTATATTGTTTTTGAGTACGCGATCAAATTAATGAGCTCCGTTCATATCGTCCAATGTACGTTTTGGACAGGTTTCCGCCACGATTTTGTTCGTGTTGTTGTATATATCTATGATATCTAGGGTATCAAATATCGTTGCTTTCGAATTAATAACTTTGTAAATACATAGTTATAAAATGGTTCTTAATCGAATGCTGAGGAAGTAACATCCAAAAATTTCAAAAGCTTAAAAAAATCTAGTATCTACTTAATATTTTTTTGGTATGGCAACATTAAGCGACGTCGATTGTGGCAACTTCGTTCGCCAAACCGCATATATTGGAACCTATAGCCAGATGTATATACCCGTTTAGTCCAAAATCGGATCCCCACGAGTTTTTAGCGATGTAATATGGTACGTCTGCAGTGAGATCATAACCTACCAACTGTACGGCGTGGTTTAGGTCCATTGCATCTCCACTAAAATAAAAAACAACAACAGTTAAAGGTACATCTTTATAAAGTAACTAGCGGCCCGCCCTCGCTTCGCTTCGGTGTAAAGCTGAAGTGTAGACTACAGTTTTTGTTCTCAGGCTTGTATTATACACAATGACATTCATCTATGATTCTTCTTATACCTGCATGCAGTCTCAGCCCGATCGGTTTAAAATTCACAAAGTTTCATACAAACTTTCATTCCCTATTTTATCCCCTTAAGGGTAGAATTGATCAAAATCCTTTCTTAGCGGATGCCTACGTCATAACATCTACCTGCATACTTCAGCCTACAAATTTCAGCCCGATCCGTCCAGTGGTTTGGGCTGTGCGTTGATAGATCACTATGTCAGTCAGTCACCTTTGAGTTTTATATATATAAAAGATATGGAATAACACTTATGTCGAATAGCGCGAGGTAAACTTTCCGGTGTCGAATGCTAAGCGACCAATCACAGCGCGAACGCTGCTTGACGATGCTTTCTGATTGATCTATTTCTAGGCTATTGTAGTTGGGTGTTCTTTTTTGTAAAACTGTACTTTTGAAACACGCCTAGTGTCTCCGTGGTGTTTCTGTGAGTTTGCATCATTGTAAGGATTTTTTCGGATTATTTTAGGATCTAAGTCATGGTTATTTTTACGGCTTTGGTATGTAGATATTTTTTATTGAGGAGCTCGATAGCGCAAGTGGTTAGCGCGTTCGCCTCCGATCGTAAAAGTTAAGCAACTATCGCAGTGGTCGGTCATTTAATGGGTGACCAAAAATTTTGTATCTCGGGCTCCTCCGTGCTTCGGAAGGCACGTTAAGCCGTCGATGCCGGCTACATCTGCAGTTGTTAGTACCCACCATCCGCTATGGGCCCGCGTGGTGGATTATGACCCGATCTCTCTATTCCAGCCATAAGGACCGTTCCCCTGCCGTGGGGACATTAATAGGCTGATGATTTTGATTTAAAAAAGCGATATCTTTAAAACTCTATTGAGACATGATTTATGCATTAACTACCCCCGGGTCGCTTTGATTCTCTGTCTATTGGGCACTATAATAATAACAATTTCTTTATTTCTTCTCTCACATAACAATACATCATAAACTTAACCTTAATACATATATCTAGTTATGTGAGAGACTGGCGTCTGTACTAGGAGACCTGTATTACAGATAAACAGTCACTCCACTTCCGAACCGTCTTTATGGAACTCAAATACATATAAGAGTTAGTTTTTTAAGTAAAATACAAAAACATACATAAGAGAAAAAAAAAACAAAAGAAGGTAAGTAGTGTGTTTGTGTGAATGTATGTGAGTGTGTGCGTGTTTGTATTGTGTTGTTTATTATAGTGATTAATTGTGTTTATAAGACTGTGTAGTATGAGTGTGTCTCTGTTTGTTTATGTACGTACAAGTAAAAATATGTTTATATGATGTTAAGTATATATCTCGAGATATATGCTTGTTTGGCATTATTATGTAGATATATTACCTGCAATGGTATTGTATGACCCCTCCGAGGTAGTTCTGCCAAGTGAGCGCATTGACCGCCACCGCTACCGGCCCATGCAATGCTAAAGCTTCTATTATCTTCTGTTCGGTGCCAACGAAACTGAAACGAAGCGAAAAAAAATAGAGGTATTTGTTCGATCCGTGTGATGTATGTAACTAAACTTCATCTGACCTTAGATTAAAACAAAAAGGGAAGATACGGCACTCGCAGCTCGCAACTCAAACAAAAGTGAGCCGCTTTAATTGTGGTGCATAACCACAATTAGCTTTAGTCATAATTGGACATTCAAACACGCTGCATGTGCACTCAATATAACAATATTGCGTATATTCTGTGTTATAAAGATAAAACAATGCCTTCGATGCTTTTATAAAGAATACAAATAGTTCAAAATCAAATAACAAATGTCTCGGTAACACTTTTCATTCGTAAAACTGTAAAAACATTTTTGATGTGAACAGTGGCGGTCTTAGGGGGTGGCGAACAGGGCAATCGCCCGGGGCCTCGCTCCTACAGGGGCCTCGCGCAACAACCCAAGCAAATTTTAAAAATATAAAAAAAAAACTATTTTTTCAATGACACAAGATCGGCTTTCAGCCCTCGCTATTCTTTCAATCGAAAATGACGTAGCTTATTCGCTAGATTATTGTGCTTTAATTAAAGATTTTAGTCTTAGGAAAAGCCGTAAACATCAATTTTAAAATTTATCATCTCTGTATTTGTTAATTTTGTGAATCTTTCAATGTAAAATATTTTAAAATTCAAATTTGATTTATTTGTATAATTTAAGCATTTTTCCTTAAACATGACAAATACCTAAACCAAACAACCAGACCTACTTTCGCATCACATACTCTTCACGAAGGACAAAGGGCCTCGCAAAGACCTGCCGCCCGGAGCCCCGCAATCGGTAAGGCCGCCTCTGGATGTGAATGTTATTTACGTAATCGCCACATTGTTATCAAGAAAAGGACAACAATACAGCTCAGCCGTACGGACTCGCTGTTTTGCTCGCGATGCGTTGAAGCGTATAGTTCTGTCTCGCTCGCTCGATTGAATGTTTATATACAGTCGTGTGCGTGCGTAGGAGTTGCTTATGTAGTTGAGTCGGATCATATTTTATTTGATGCTAGTATGACCGTATCGTATCTTCCCTTTTTGTTTTAATCTAAGCATCTAACCCCTCGCTTCCACAAAGATACAAGTCATATACTAGTTTTAAACAAAACATTTTTGTTGTGGCTGTTTAAAACGTTATTTCCTTTACACTGCATGGACAACTAGTATCTTACAAGTAGCAATCACTTATTTACTTCACAAATTTTGTATGTCCAACAAGTTTGATGCACCTATTGTATAACTACTACATGTTTTATACATGTATATTAGTGTGAAGGACAAATTAAGACATTGTATAAAATTTGTTAAATACATGTATTATACCTTGGTGTAAACAAGTGGTAAGGAGCTGAACCGATTTTAATGATATTCGAGCCCTGGTTGGTTATGATTTAAAACTGGACCCACAGATGGCGTTGCATTACCTATACAACATATATTTATTTTATGTTACAGGACAATGTCTACCGGATCCCAACTCTGTTTGTTCTTTACGCTTTCACGCATTGTTGTACTTTAAATTACTGATATATTACTTTACCAGCGGTAAATAAATTGGTTTCCCTTACGAAATTTCAAGTTTTATATTCATGACAAAAGTATTATATATACCTGATTCCAAGTTTCCATCTATCTCTGTAGATACCAAAATTCAGCATAATCGATTCAGTGATTTGGCGTGAAAAGGTAAAAAACAAATTATCAAACTAATTTTCACAATTATATTATTAGTTTGGATATGACTGATTTTAATTCTGTTTTCATAGAAAGGATTCTTTTCATTCTTTATAATTTTTACTTGAAGGATAAAATTATCACACTATTATTATAAAGGCGAAAGTTTGTGAGTGTGTGTGTGTGTGTGTGTATGTATGTGTATGTTTGTTACTTCTTCACGTCTAAACGGCTGAAGCGATTTTAATAAAATTTGGTATGGAGTTAGCTGAGACCCTGGATTAACACATAGGCTACGTTTTACTGCGGGAAAATATCCCCAATTAACCGCGGGTAACACCGCGGGGCACAACTAGTATATTCATATATTCAAACTGCGACAAATACCCTTTAATGTCTACTCACTCGTCACAAGTGAACGAAGTTACTCGGACCCCTGTCGTGTTCTTCTTAGCTTTGCAAACACCATTGGTAAGCTGAAGGGGATAGTCTTTCTCCACCTCCACAGGGGTATTGGTGATCATCAACCAATCTAGAAGCAGACAGATATCGCCACCGGAGCAGCCCTGGTTGCCTAATCTTGCGCAGTCAATGACCTCCTAAAATATCAGATAAATAAATAAATATTTGACATTGTGGGTTACCTACAATGCGAAGAGATGGCGCTGCCTTGCCGCTTAAGAAAGGCTAGGAAAAATTCGGCACAGCCTTCAGGGCCGCGGTAGCATAATTAGTCAGTGCATTCGCCCGGATAGCTAAGGGTGCGGGTTCGAGTCCCGTCTGCTGCCTGGTTAGCGTGGATTTTTTTCTAGTAATATTTTCTTTAGATTTAAACATCGAGCAGTCATATGCTTAAAAATAAATAAATTAAAATTATAAATAAATATTTCTAACACTACTGACACCAATTCGCCTAGCCCTAGTAAAGCTTGTGTCATGGGATACTAGGGTAACGCATAGAAATATATGATAGCCATGACTTAATCAAAAAAGCTCTTTTTCTTCATAAAAAAACCCTCAACCTGATTTCGCGTGGTCCCCGCTCAGACACCTAGACAAATAAGCCCCCAACACAGAGATTAAAAAAATAACACAAGACGGGTCACCAAACCACTGGTAGGAGGTGCAAATCGTAAGTGTTCCGGCCCAGATTTAGGGGCATCCACTCCTTCGTTGCCCTAGGGCCCCACATCCCTAAATCTGGCCCTGTCTAGATCTACCTAGGTGTGGTCTTACAGTTTGGCGTTCAGCACTGTTCACTAGTTTCAGCCACAAAGCAAATAGCTTGGCTCTTGTCGAGGCTTTACACAGAAGAGGAAAACTCAAAACTGATGTATTTATACTGTATGACGCAGCAATGAAAATACAGGTAAACAATTAATGTATATTTAATGATCATGTAATGAAAGGTGACTTCATGAATCATCTCTGAAGTCATTTTTCAATTTGACGACTCTGCTAATAATAGAACAGGGAGAAAAAAACAGCCCTTGCTAAGTTTCTTGCCGGTTCTTCTCAGTACAAGCTCTCCCGCCATAGATTTACAATGCGATGGCGTAGCTTCTAGATATTCATGAGTGCTTGTAACAGCCTAAACTGAATAAATGATTTTGATTATGATTATGATGATTAATAAATTATCATTTCTGCCGTCTTCAAGCTAAAACGCGGCAAAATGACAAAACCAACTTTTAAGATATAGCCCAAAAAAGGTGTGTAAACTGTAAATTATTGCTATTTTGGAGCCATTCATCATATGACGGATTTTTATGCTTGAACTATAATATAAAAGATACGAATACTTTTCAAAGACAACTGTTTATGATGCAATTAAAAACTGAAAGTCAACCTCATGTCACTTAGCCGCACTTAAGTTTAAGGACGGCAGATTTACACTTTACATTTGATGAAATGAAGTTATTTTTCAAGTCTTCTCTTAACAACTCAAATGAATATAGTAATATAGTTTATATTACTTAAACTATAGTTAATGCTACTACATCACCTGCACACTGAGTGCGGGCAGTTTCCCAGTGTTTATGGCAGCCATGGACTCCATGGTGCCAACAGTACTGAATGCCCAGCAAGCACCGCACAAACCCTGATTCCTAACAGCGCCCACCGCTCCTTTGACTCTCCTAAAAAGTAAAAAAAAAACGAGTGTGCTTATGACCACACGACTGAAGTGAAACTTCTTTAGCTCCATCTGTTTGTAGATATATATATATATGTGTGTGTACAATATATACATATATGTACGTATACATATTTCATTTACTAGCTATAAGAGAAAGAGAGAAAGCAAATGTGCGCGCGTAATGTTTTCTCTTGCTTATATCCCCCACTCAACTCCCGTTCGCCTTGCCCGAACACACTTTTCGTAACGCGTAACGCATTCGCCAACTTACCCCCCAAGTCAAGAGCGCGTAAAGAAGTTTCACTTCGCTAAAAAAAATCGAGGCTCAATTCGAACGACCGCCTTCCGCGCACTAACCATTTACCACTTTGCGGCCAATACCTTAACTTCCTTACTAATAAACGAAGAATAAGCTTGAATTAATTACTCCATGTCTTGTCTCTGTTCATTGAATAACAAACGGCATTTGAATGATATGAATAAAACACGGCGTGAATAACTACATAGTTGCTGGTTATAAGTCGTAACAGTCACATCAACTTGGAAAGAGATCGTCACCGTATTAACTCGAGCGAGTATTTTTTGTATGAAACTCCCAACTGCAGCGCACACTAATCGGAATCGTAACGCAATCGCCTCGCCTAGGGACAAGCTCGTGTCCCAGGGCTATACGGCTCGGTTAGATACGGTGACGATCCCTTTCCGAGTTGAAATACCTGCAATGACATTTATTAAGATAAGGAACGAGTCGACAACAAGAACAAGAAATGTCTTCTAGTAAAGTCTATAGATTTATAAATGTACCAATATTATACAGCTCTAAAAAAACCTAAACCATTTTAATGCAAAAACAGTGAGTGGTGTTGTGTAGGTAGGTATGTGAAAATGATGCCGTGGGATATCTGTACATTTAAATAATCTCAGATTCCGCCACGGTATTCCGCTTATTCTAATGAATGACTGCGGCAAAAAATTATGATACTTGAGATGGATAATAATAGTAATATTAATACTTATCCATCATATGATCATAAATTATATTTTATTATAAATAAAAAACATAATATTACAGTACGATTCCACATTTGATATTGCTTGAACATTTTTAGCAAGTATTGACCTATATAAGCAGAGCCGTCTTTGACCTATTGGAGGCCCTGGGCATATTCGGATAATGGGGACCCCCGTTTGGTGATCTAACAGGAACTAAGTGGGGCCCTATCGATCGCGGGGCCCTGGGCACTTGCCCAAAGTGCCCACTGGGAAAGAGAATATAAGGCCAATTGTTTACAATATTTACAGACACAATGCTGACCATTAAAATATAGATTTTGCATAACTATAATTTAAATATAATGAAGAAACTTAGGAGTGGATTATATCATTTTATTTCTTTTCCCGTCAAATATAGACATAAGTGGAAGTATATAGGTAATAGATAAGAAGAAGAAAAATAACTAGTTATTGGCCGAGGTTCTCGCCGAGCCGAGTATCAAAGAATTCATTAAAACTAATGAAAATGTCAGATCCGCAGACAAAATAAAAAGAATTATCCATAAATATCTAGATATACAATAAATGTAATACCTAATGCTATGGAATGAGGCCAACCGCGTGACATTACGAAGAAAACATTTCCGAAACAAACTATTGAACGCGCTCAATTAAAAACCTGTTTGACGGTCCATCTACCTACCTAAACTTGATACGACAGCAGCGGCATCAAAAACTATTTTGTTAACTCGTAAAGTAACAAAATACTTTATATCGCCTCACGTTATGGTAAACAGTATATTTCTCTCAAACTGGAGCGCTCGTCTGCAGAAGGAGCTCGAGATTACTTTTTTAGTCACCCATCTAGAGTTGCCAGGTCGCCAAACTTAATAGCCGGATAGACCAGCCAGTTTGGCCGGCCACCCTACATTATTGAGGATTTTGTGACTCAGTATTATTAGGTACAACAAAAAAAATACGTAAAAGCGACCGACAGCCCACTCGCTTGCGGCGCTCGCACGGACAAGCCGGACACCGTTTATTTTGGCCGGACACTCATACAAAAAGCCTATGTTGGCCTTTATCCGGATGCCTGGCAACGTAGGTAACCCATCTCCCACTTTCCTAAAACCGTTGCAAGATTTGCTTAACTTCCACAATCGAAATGCAAGCTAGCTACTGTAACATCATTTGCCCATTTAAAGGCAGCTACGCGAATCAGACGTTTTGTGTTGGTCTACGTTTCTTTCTAGTCACGTGCATCACAGTTTTTTTTTACAAAGTATCGGGTTCCCCGTATTTCGTCTGTAGTTATTACTAGACAGACGAAATACGGGGAACCCGATTCCATGCCATGCCATGAGGTGGCTTTACCTATCTATAGTGCAGGGGTGTGCGTTGCACACGGGCGCAGCGGCCTCAAGGGGCGCCGACAACGATATTAAAAACAATATCGTTGGGCGCCGAGCGTCCCTCGCCACCATTACTTTAAAATGATTGCACACAAGCGCTTACAAGGCCTAAAGACGTCTCTGATCATGCCCCATTTTACCACCTTTTAAGTTTCTTTTCGCAAAAAAACTAGCATATTTTTAGAAATTTGCAGGTTTCCTTTCATTTTTCATTTCATTTATTCATTTATTCATTTATTCATTAAATACATGGACTTGTTGGCTTACAGAATGTCCAAGACGCCAACAAGTGCAATTGTCAAACACAGAGTATTTAGTATAATATAATCTCAAATGTCAATATTAACTTAATCTAGGATTAGAATTATAATCAAAAATAATAAAGTCCATATAAAATATAGAAGTTGCAAAAATGTCAAACAATATAAAATAAAAAAGAAATTAAAAAATAAAACAACAAAAGTACAAAATTAGAATTTAGAAACATAAATAATAAATTCTTTGATTTACTTTACATAAGCAGGTCATTTACAAATTTATGAGCATTATTATAAATGTCAGGTAGACGGTCAGCAAATAAGTCAATTTCGTAGTGCCGAGCAAGCATGTCCCCGATCAGAACTAAGGCGCGTATAGTGGGCGCGTTGGTACCCTGCCTAGTGCGAGCAATGGGTCGGTACAAAAGACGCGGGCGCCGCCGTGGAACAACAGCTCCCGCTTCATCCCCCGCACGGCGTCTGGGGACTATTAGCCCGAACTTACCAACGATTGATCGATCATCAATTTTATTGTGCAATACAGCCAGATAGTACCGCAGAAGTTGCATGATTCTCCTGAATTTAAGGGTATCCATATCTACCATACCTGAAACAAATATAGACGGATACAAGAAAGGATAGTAGCCGTACTTTTTCTTGTATAACCATCGAGCATACTTTCGCTGCAATTTTTCCACCATATGACAGTACTTGTCTTCGTAAGGATCCCAAACAACGGGACAGAATTCAAGCTTACTACGGACATAAGTATTATAAAGCACTGCTGCGACCCTCGGATTGTCAAACTGACCAGAAGTTCTAATTATGAAGCCTAACGTTTTATTTGCCGCCTTACAGATTGTTACCACATGTTTGTGAAAGTCCAATTGGGAGTCCATAGTTAAACCTAAGTCACGAATATCACTTACCCTTTCTATGGGTGCGTCATGTAGTTTATAAGCCATATTTAAAGGACATCGTTTTCGTGTATAAGTAATAACTTTGCATTTATCTGTATTAAATGGAAGACGATTAAGTTCACTCCATTCAGCCACAGCAGAAATATCTTCTTGCAAGGTTTGAGAGTCCGATACAGAACTAACCCCCAAAGACAACTTGAGATCATCAGCAAAAAGAAGACATTTCGAAGATCCAACACCAATCGGCAAATCATTGATAAGGATCAGGAATAGCGTTGGTCCCAGGGTACTGCCCTGGCTAACACCGGACCTTGTATAGTAGTCACTAGACTCGAAACCGTTAACTCTTAAAAACTGGCACCGATTTCGTAGGTAGCTAGAAAAAAAATCTAATAGTTTAGGTGTAAAGCCCATTATTGCTAATTTTTGCAACAAAATATCATTATCCACCAGGTCGAACGCTTTTTTGAAGTCAAAATAGGCGGTGTCGACCTGTCTGCCCGCATCCATTTCCGCATACGCGTAGTCCACATGAGCCACAACATTAGAGGTAGTGGAACGAGCACTACGGAAACCGTGCTGGCAGTCATGTAAAAAAAATTGTATCTGCTTATTAATACGATGACCCAGAATTGTCTCGAAGATCTTAGCGAAGACAGATAGAACTGCGATAGGTCTAAAGTTCGAAATATTGTTACCGGCTTGTCCCTTTGGGACTGGGGTTACTCTGGTTAGTTTCCAAGTCGCAGGATACACTGAGAGTTTCAGAGATAGATTGAAAAGAAATAGGAGCGGCTTTTCGAGAAGTGAAATGCAATCCTTTGCCAAAAATACCGGGATACTATCAGAACCTCCCGCAGATCTTGGCTTGAGGCGCTTTACCGCTAACTTCAAATCGGATGCGTCAACCTGCCCGATTGAAATAAAAGTGGCGTCTGCCTGCATGTGACCTGCACGAGCAGCCTCAGTTGGATTCAAGCGAGGTACCTCGGCAAGAAATACTGAGCTGAAGTAATCAGCAAAAGCGTTAGCCGCAGCCTGGCCGGTCACCTCCTCTCCCTTATGTAAATAAGTACCGACAGGTTGGCGGTCCTTTCTTTTATCTTTAATATATGTCCAGAATTGAGTAGGGTCGTCAATTATATTATTTTGCATCAAATTTAAGTGCTGCTTATAAGCATTGTCAATAAGATTTTTAACATGCCACCTATAATATTTAAACATTTCTTTGTTAAATTCCTTACCTTCGGCCTTGTAACGTTTCAAATGATAATATTTAGTTTTAATGCAAGTTATGATTTCTTTTGTATACCATTTCGGATAAATGTATTTGTTATGTCTGATACGAGGACCCTTTGGCGGCACGAAACGGTCAATACAACTGTATATTTTATTATAGAACAGGTCAACGGCTGAGTCAATATCAGATGTGGCAAATAAGTCACACCAATCCAGCTCATTCAGAGCCGCATAGAGACTTGGATAGTCAGCCCTACGCCAATTCCAGTCGGGGCTAGAACCAGAGCACGAGGAGGGCTGAGGTAGGGTTGATGGCGGCACTGATCCACCACACGAGAACTTGACAAATACCTCTAAAGGAGGGTGATATAAATCAATTGGTACTAGCGGTTCAGCACCAGCTAAAACCTGAATCTGATCAGGGTTCATACTGCTCAACACCAGATCCAGCATACCGCCGCGACTATTATATACTTTATTATGTTGCTGTAGTCCACAAACGTCACAAAACAAATCAAAATTAAATTTCACATTGGCACTAAAAGAATTTAGGTTAAAATCGCCAATAAGACGTTCAAGTATTGATCATCCCTGTAGCTGGGAGACAAGTAAACTACACAACACAACAATTTGAATTTTTTGTAGCTAATTATGGCGCAGACCAATTCCATTTCAGACGTCTGAGCATCAATATCTGTTATCTCACGCACCGAATAACAGTCTTTCACTGCGAGTAACACCCCACCCCAACCACAGTCACCTGAACGATCCTTCCGTATTACGGCGTAGTTAGGGGGGAAAAGTTCGCCGTCTGATATGGAACTAGTCAAGAATGTTTCTGTCAACGCTATAACATCAAAGCCATTCTGGGCTACATTGTTTAAGAAAATATTAGTTTTTGAGCGCAAACCCCGTACATTTTGGTAACACATATTCAGAGACTTAACTTTAGAAGCAGCACGCTCACATACTTTTTCCTTTAGCACGAAAGTTCTGACGCCACGGTTTCACACAAATATCTTCAGCCCAATTTGACGGCGACATGACAGTATCTGCGAACTTTGACGGTACACCAAGCTTAAACGATGCGTATCGTCCTCGTGACTTTAACGATTCAACCGTACAGATTTCAGTTCCACAGATGGAATGAAGATGAGCAAGTACCTGCTCAACAGTAGTGCCTTCCTGTACATAAAACAGATGTAATGTGTTCCTTTGTCTCCATATCGAAATTATAGATGGGTGACAAACAAGCATAAGGCCCACCTGATAGGTAGTAATCTACAACTACTATAACCTCTTGTAACACCAAGAGCACCTATTGTTAAAGCATAACCTACTTGAATCCCATTTATAAATAATCAAAACTATCATCCTTATCTTGAGTGATTATTCACTTTGCACAATATATTATTATATTCATTTTCAACAAACTACATATCCATATTCCGTGATGCAGTAAAAATTAAGCACTTAACTTGCACTTAAAGCATAAACATGTAATATGTTTGAGAGCCATAAAATAACAGGTATATTTTTATTTTAGGAGATCGGAAATGCTAATTTTGGTTTAATGGTGTAACTCAATTAAATATGATGCAACGATGAATGAGAAGTTTACATTAAATGGCCATTAGTAAGCCACTATCAGAATTTACTTTAAAAATTTAAACTGGTATTCTATAGCTCTAGCTAACTGGAATAAAATGAAAAAGTATGTTTTGAAGAGCTGTATTAACTCTTAGCAACACACCTTGGCTTTGCAAAATATAAATTATTTTAAAGTTAATAAGCTAATGGAAATAGCTAATGTTACTCTGGAATAATGTTGGTTTGTAATGATGAAAGAATTTACACAATCAGTACATTAGTACCAGAGTTTTCTTTTATTTATTCCACTAACAAGATCATTGCACTAACAAACATTTTTTTTCTAATTACAATATATTTATAGATTTAATATTGCTTGAATGGACAAAAATTATAAAAGATTTCAAAGTCAAATGACATTGTAGCCAATATATAGGTCTTCAAATAAAAGTGAAAAATATACCAAGTTATGCTTTTTTTTATAATTTGTTGATATGGGATGCAATCACCTACAATACAGGCAGTTGTTATCTTCGAACTTTACATACTTCTTAATATAAATATTGTTGTTAACATTTTTATCAGTACAGAGAGACTCAAGGGTAAAGTGAATCATTTTAATTTTGGAATGAATTAATGAAGCTGCTATGAGTATTGGCTATGATCATACAATTAGTAGCCTTTTCCATGCTATAGACAGGTAAGGTTGATCTTGAAAAACGGTGTACTTTATATCTTATAAGAAACCTAACTTCATTAGCTATTTGATATTGTAGTCCAAAGTGCTGGTTGAATTGGCAAATGGTTCCATTACAAAATGTTGTATCAATAAATATAATGACATTCAATACCACCCTCAAAGACTTCAATGATATACATTAACATATATACATACAGAGCCAACAGAATTTCATAACTTCAAATAAGGACATTCACTTTAATATGTTCAAACTTAGTGCTTATTATACTTCATTGTTAAAGTCATAGTAGACATGTTCAGGAAACTATCTTTTTTTTTAAGTTCTATTCTTGCTACTGGTATGATGTTAAAAATAACTTTATTTATAAAAATTATTAGAGATTTTGTTGTATTGCAGGTAGGTATGCAAGAAATAGGTACTCACCAATCCACTAGCATTGGTAAGGAAGCCCTCTTTTTTCTTATCAGGTTTTCTTTTCTTTCATTAACATCTTGGACGTGATAGTAATCCCTCTGATTATGTTTTCTCCAACTTCTGTCATATGTGGCAGGTGATTTCGTAAGTTTCTCATCAGACAAATGCAAATCTTTATATTCAGTTGGTGACATATCAGACAACTTTGTGGGGCCATATCGAGCTCTGTACTGCTCCGGACCCCTGGACTCAGAATTTAATCGATCAATCTCACTCATGGAAACCTTAAAAATAATAAAAAAAAAATCTTTTAAGTCCTATCCATGTCGAACTTCAAAGCGTATTATTATATCTTACCAAAAAGTGTTGAAACCTCGTTTCATATTCCTCGGGATTGTTTTTGTAACTTTTATTATACTTTTCAATATATTGATCAAAAATTGGCTTCAATTGCTCTTTACTTGTAGAGGCAGAATAACTAATAGGTACTACAATAAACAATAAACAAAACAAAACTATACCAAGAACCCAGGTCCACCAGTTGATTTTATACATTTTAATATGCGTTGGCTAATGTTAAAATAAATTTAATCAACTCACGATCACCTACGCACGCACAAACCACGAAAGAAACAAGGTATATGAATGAAGTATTTGTTTGTAAACTTTTCTACTTGTCAATGTCATTAGAGTTGAATAGACATCCGGATCCGGAATAGGGATGCAATCTAATATTGATTAATTGAATAATCAATCTTTGATGCGATATGCAGCAATGAGCGATATTAAAATTATTTTTAGGTTTTTACCCAATCCAATATCCCGACTCCATACGTGTGTCGTTAAGCTCTGCGAACAAGCGTGAAATGTGGATGGTTTTGGCGGCTTCACGCGTTCAATGGAGAGAGTCATTGAGTCATCATCACAGCTGAAGTAAATTCATGACTCGAATTTACACCATTTCACGGCAAAGTGTGGAATCGAGATGTTGATAATCCTTGAAATTAATCACAATAACTAGAATGAATGTATTTTTGAAGTTATACTTCTTTAGCCGCGTTATGAAAAAATTATGAGAGTGAAATTTTAAGATGCGCGCGCATCACTGTAACACAAAAGTAACACAATGAAGTTAGCCGCGGGCGCGTTATGAAAAAATGATGAGAGTGAAATTTTAAGATGCGCGCGCAACACTGTAACAGAAAAGTAAAGCCCACCATCCACTACACGCACCGCGAGCCGAACCCCGAGCCGCACCCATCCGTGGACAAATCCGTCATTGCCCACACACTACACGAGCGTCGAGTTCATGTCGAGTTGCAGTCCAGTCGCTTGTGTACTTTGGTAAGCCTCGCGCGTATCGTTCTTCCCTACCCTACCATGCCACCGGTGCTTTCCAAACGCACAAAAGTCGCTTTAGTAGTCGGTGCAATACTTTTAACGGAGAATAAAAAGAAAAAGCGCGTTTGAACAAAGGAATGGCTGAAACAACGAACAAAATATACTCATTTAAAATTGCTGCAATGCATTCAGACCTGTAAACCACCCGTTTCTCTTTAGTTTTCTCTTTAAACAGCAGGATAAATTCTTGCCAAAACTCTTTATGATCGCCAAACGACATGTTATTATACTCGTTTACTTGTTCATGATACAAACAACACAACTGCAGGCCAATTATGCTCGCTAATTGTAATATTGTTTTGATGTCAATTTCACATTACTCATTATGCTCTCCGAAAAATCCGATATCAAAATGACATCAACTTTAAAATGATATCAACTTAAATGCGTATTACGTTCAACTTTTTGACATAAAACAGTATCGCATAAACGTCATAAATGTGATACAGACTTAACAAGTTAGGAGGTGGTTTTTCTGTATCAAATTCCTTTCTTTTTAATAAAAAAGAGTAAAATGGCTCGTTTCGGGTTAGTAATGGACTAGTTAGAACGAGCTCATGCCGAGGACATGCGCAGAAGAGATAAACCCCTTGTAGAAGAGATACAATTAGCTCTTTATGTTCGCTAATTGTGATATTGTTTTGATGTCAATTTCACATTACGTATTATGCTCTCCGAAAAATGCGATATCAAAATGACATCAAATTAAGCGTATTATGATCAACTCTTTAAAATGATATTAACTTGATATCAACTTAAATGAATATTATGTTCAACTTTTTTACTTAAAACAGTATCGCATAAAGTCAAAAAGTGATACAGACGTGATACAGAATTAACAAGTTAAGAGGTCGTTCTGCGTGCACGCACTACAAATGACTGACAAGTTCACCGATAAATCTGTACAAGCACACACACGTACGGATTTGTACGGCGAGGCTGGGGTGCGGCGCGGCGCTCGCGTCTCTCGACGGCGAGCGCCGCGCCGAGCCTCGAGCCGCACTCACCAATACATTCACACGCGGATTTGTCCGCGGACTTGTCGCCAGCGACAAATCCGGCGGATGGGCGCGCCTGTGAATGGTAGCCTTAACACCATGAAGTCGGCCGCTAAACCGCACATTACTCGTAAGTCTCGAAAAAAAGCTTCCAACAAAATAGTAATAGGATCTCTTAGTCGCACATGTTGGGACGCTCGTCGCCTCTGATCACTGTTTTCATATTTATAATATTTATCCACATGTTTCTAGTTTCTATATTCTTAACACGTGTTATGTTATACAAATGCGAAATTTATATGTGATAATAAATTTTATTCAGTAGTGATTTAAATTGAATATTATGATTATTTATTAAATTAAAACTGAACTTTATTGACTGCGTTGACTATCCTTTTCCAATCCTTTTATTATCTTATTGTAATTAATTATCTGCATGCAATTAAAAACTATTTATTAATAATAGGCTAGTTTACTCATGTCGAATTGTATTAAATAAATGTTTATTTCTTAAAGTGTTTAGTCTAAGGAACCTTAATATATCGATTTCACTTCATAAAAGCAGAAGATTGCTGTAGAAATTTAATTTTAAAAAATATTTTTTAGTCTATATTTTTTAAACACTAAAAACGCTGTTCGCCACATTCGCCATGATTTTGACGTCTCTTGTGGTAAACAACTAAATGTCATTCGCGTGTTACTGTAGGTGGATTCTTTCGTCTGACTAAATTTATCTTAAAACACTTTTAACTTTAGGAAAGAAAAAAACAGTAAAATTAGTTTTTTTTGACTAAACAAATTATGGATGCCGGCTTTGTGAAAGCAGAAAGCACAAATCTGCCAAGAATTGACGCATTGATGGTTGGTGAATTTGTTGCACTAAACCCCGATTTCTGCTCCGCGGAGCAGAGAAACGACAAGGCATCTATGTAAGTACAGTGCATTTAGTATTACAATGTAGTAATAAACATAAAACTGATACAACATATGAATAAGTGTAATAAAGTTGCGTAGGTTAATTTCTTTCCGCACTTTAATCCACAACTTTCCTGGAGTCTTCAAGGATGTGTTTTTATATTCTCGTACAATACAGTAATGATAATTACTTTATTTTTCGTGGTATTTATTAGAAATCATGTTTTTTTTTATTATAAACTCAGTTAAAAGTAATTTTCTACGTGTTTACGAGTTTTTGTTTACCACAGTTCACGTCATAGCATAGACAATCTATAGACTAAAATGGCCGACAGCGTTTTTGTATGTCCATGAAAAGTCTATTTTAAAATTAAAGATTTGTAGCTTTCTAGGTTTAAAAAAAATACAATACATTTTTTTTCGGTCTAATAGAACATTTATTAACCATTTAAAACCTTTTTCCAAAAAGGGTCAACTAGCCTATTCCAAAAAGAAGTATAACTTCTCACGCGCGTACTTAAGTACACGCACCCATATTTTTTTATACTTGATACTTTGATATGGTTATAAAAATAAATTGTTATTATCGATTTCCTATAATATGTAGACGAGGGGCAATAATTGTCCGCAGTCTTTTTTGTCTGAAATAATAGATCGCTTCCAAATGCATCTAGTAACGCACACAGCGGATTAAAATTACAGCGTGTAAAAAGTCCTCCGAACAACCGAGGACTCAGAGAGACCAGAAGATAGCACTAAAGTCCAGGCCATGAATAAATTTAAAAAAATATAGCACTGAAGTACGCGAGTGTCTAAAAACATAGAACTCGTGTGACTAGGCGCAGCAACACACACGGCGAGCGAAGTTTTTAAGGCAGAAATATACTTATCTGTCGTTTTGTGTTGTGACGCGATCTGATGCGTTCGGTACATTGACCTACGGTTAGAACTATACTTGTGTGTCGCGATGTATCGACAAGATTCTGGCTCTAACCTTAAGAAATGTATAAAACAAATAGATCTCTGATGCGTCACAACACAACACGACAGATAGAGATAAGTGTATTTCCGCCGTTAGTCCGAGTTGAGCTCGATCCGATTTAAATGGATGAGCCCAGTATTCTCCTTTTCTTAATCTTCAGGTTAATAACAACTTAAAAAATAACGTTATTTGAGAATATTTACTTCCACAGCGTGCACTTTTCTGTAAAGACAACAAATGTTCGCACACCTTGTGCGTTGAGTCCGCACGTCCGTTACAAGTCCTCAGCAGATTTTTTTTATGTCCTCCACAGACTAAAGTCCCTCGTCTGTGCAGGCCATTGGGCCCAATTCTGGCGTGCCAACTTATATCTAAAAGTAACTAAAATTAGATATAGACTTGTCAAATTCAATTTGGTATTCTGTAATGACACTCTTCTATCTCTAAATCAAAAACTGACGTTGCTAAGTTACTCAACTTAGATTTAGTTGATTATTTGGTATTCTGAAACGCGTTCTAAATGTCATATTTTCTCTAAAATTAGAAATGTCACACTAAATTTAAGAAGGACCTATGGAGGTCCTCTCTAAATTTAAATGTGAATAATTAGGGCCAATAATTAGGTAAATGATTGCTACAGATAAGTTTTAAATTTATTGTATGGGTTTGGTTGGTTAAAAAAAGTTATAAATTAATAATCAAATATGACGTTGATAATAATAAGTGGAAAGGTTCATTTACTGAACTGTTTGCCTCGAGAACTTCTTTTCTATAGTTTGGTTGTTTTAATTACGTGTTTTTGTTTTTCTAAATCTACTTAATGGTGTCGGTGATATGCATTCCAATCACCTATTCCAATCCAAATGTTATTTTGACTTTAAATGTAGCTATTTTAGACTTTAATGTATAATTTATTCCTTTCTTTTTAGTGGTTTTGTTTTTATGAAGCAGTTTTTGATATTTGTTAGAAATATTTTTATTTACCACTTTTTAATAGCTAATCATATTTCTTAAAATAACTAAACACGAACTAAGTTTCTGCTGTTTGTCATTGAGAAGTTTGTGTTTATATATGCGAAAGTACTTGTCATCTTCACCAAATGAATTATTGGGATTTGGGACCATCTCGCTAAAATCTGATTGAAACAATAAAGATAAAAATAGGTTACGCATCTCACGTTATACAATAAATGAGAACAAAATCTTCACAAAACAGCCGAGGGGATAATAACAACCACTTATCGCAACCGCAATTTATAACCGTAGGTATTAGATAGATGCGCTGGATTGCGAATTTACGATGCGAGACATTTTCAAAGATGATTCACGTTAGACCGTGTCAGCCGTAGCAGAGTTAACT